GCCCCTGCCATCCACCCGGCTCCTGCCTGCTCCACGCTGCCCCCGCCCGGATCTACCACGTGCCGCATATGCCCGTGGGGGGCGGGAAGCTCCGCGGGGAGGGCAGCATGCGGGGCCGGGGCCTGCTAATGCCCCCGGCCCCTTTTAAACGCCTTTTTTTTTTTTTCCTGCCTCCCCTTTTTTCCCCTCTCCCTTTCTCTCCTCCCCCCCCCCCCGACTATTTTGGACTGCTGATCTGGTCACCCTCCTTGTTGTCCTCCTTGTTGTCCTGGTTGGGTTTCTCTGCTCTGCCTCACCAAGACCGCAGCCTCCCCCACACTTTGTGCCTGCAAGGATTGTGTGTCACTGGCCCCACAGCCATGCTGGGAGCCCTCTGCAGCTCCGCTGTCATGGCCTTACTCAGGGCCGTCCGTAGCCATTTTGATGCCCTGCACAATTCCCTTGCTGCACTTCCCGCCGCCGGTGAATGCAGGCCTGACCCTGCTGCAGTCCTCAGGGGAGTGGAGGCGAGGCTGGGGCAGAGCAGGGGTGGGAAGAGGTGGGGCGGAGCAGGGGTGGGGGCCATGGGGAAGAGGCAGAGCAGGAGCTGGAGGAGCACGGAGCTACATAGGGCACCAGGAAATTTGAGCTGCATACTTTGCGTATGAGTAGGGACAGCCCTGGCCTTACTCACCATCCAGGAATGTGGGTGCCCTTGGGCAGGAACTGTTTCAGCAGCAGGGTGGCCTCCCCTGCTGCCGGGGACTTGTCCTTCCCCCAAACCTTATACCTTGATTTTATTTATTTTTTCAGCATAAAACTATATATTTAAGCATTAACATTTTAATTCATTGTAAATAAAAACCACTGTCGATATAGTATTTATTTCTTCTCCTTTGTGGTCTGCCATCTTAGTCATAGAATATCAGGGTTGGAAGGGTCCTCAGGAGGTCATCTAGTCCAACCCCCTGCTCAAAGGGGGACCAATCCCCAGACAGATTTTTGCCCCAGATTCCTCAGTGGCCCCCTCAAGGATTGAACTCATAACCCTGGGTTTAGCAGGCCAATGCTCAAACCACTGAGCTATCCCTCCCACCATGGTTATTTATTAGTGTTTATTATTACCACTTTATTTTTAACAAACATTCAACTGCAGTGATTACTAAATATAGTAATGTATGTAACATGGTATTTCCTTTTTCTGGGAGACAGTTTGAATCTCTTGCAAAATCAAACTGCATCTGTTCATAGCACAAAGTGATTGGCAGATTATGCTCTATTTTTTTTTTATAGCGATCTTATAAAGGCTCTATAATAGCATTTCCTAGTTATCTAAGAAGAGAGAAGTATGCCTCCATGAGTTCTGGTGCATATTTGTTTCATATCCAAGTAAAAAGGTGCTGAAGTATTTGGCTTGACACTTATAAATATTATCCCCTCTGAAACTATCCTATATATGTGATTTGAAAACGAAATCCTGCAACCTCTTTATTATTGCTCAGATAAGTTGAGTGTGTAGGACAATGAAATAGTTAGGTTTGCTTTCTTTCTGATATTCATGTTTGAGTCAAAACTGCACTAAAATAAGATCTCTTGTCTTTCTAAGGTTTTCAGCACTTACTCAAATGAAGTTTATGATAGACGTAATGAAGAGGTTGACCCTGTGGCAGCATCAGCAGAGTATGAACTAGAGAAGAGGGTGGAAAAAATGGAAGTGTTTCCTGTGGAAATTGAAAAAGGTGCAAGTTAAATGTCAAATAATTGCTTGTGAAAATGATTTTTCTTATATAGGCTGAAGCCATTTGAAGATGTATTTCTACTGTGTTTAGGCCTCGATCCTTGAAGGACCTGCGCACATGTTTTACTTTACATCAGAATAGTTTCACTGAATTAAGTATTTATTGTAAATTGTTGTCGCTCAGTTACAGTCCAATTGAAGTATGACAATTTACACCAGTCTGAGGATCTGGCCCATAATGCATAAAGTACATAAGTGTTTGTAAAATGGAAACCATTAGTAGCTCAAACCCCTAAAACTTTAGAATTCAATCCAAAGTTATCAGATACTACAGTGTGGGGGCTTCCGAAGTTGGGCGCCTAGATAGAATAGTAACATTAAACTCTTTTCACAATACACAGACTTTCATAATGGGGATGTAAAGCTTTTGCTGATCTGGATCATTTTAATTAAGTACACCTCTACCCTGATATAACGCTGTCCTCGGGAGCCAAAAAAATCTTACCGTGTTATAGGTGAAACTGCGTTATATCGAACTTGCTTTGATCCGCCGGAGTGCGCAGCCCTGCCCCCACCCCCCGGAGCACTGCTTTCCTGCGTTATATCCAAATTCGTGTTATATCAGGTCGCATTATATCGGGGTAGAGGTGTATGATTTTGTATTAGTCTGTTGGGTTGTAATCTTACTGGAAACAGGCAGTCTGAGGTATCTTTATGTTGCAAATATTACTAACGAAGAGACACAACAAGCCAGTGAGCATGTTAGATGAAGACAAGGAATAGCACATGTGCATTTTCATTGATGACTATAATAATTTATGAAAACTACCTTTTAAAATGTGTTGTGGCTAATGTTAGAATTTTTGAGTCCCATAGGTGACAGTGGCCTAGGCATTAGTATTATTGGAATGGGTGTTGGTGCAGATCAGGGACTGGAAAAACTGGGAATTTTTGTAAAAACAATAACTGAAGGTGGAGCTGCTCAAAGAGATGGACGGTGAGTTTTCATTCAAGTTGCTCATACCATTTTGCTAACTAACCGATTTTGCAAAAATGATTTACACTCAAGGACTCTTCAGTAAAATATATATAAAATGTAATATAGTAATTCTCTTTTTTTAGATGTACAGCATATGAATTATAGAAACCCGGAATGCAAAAAACTGATAGTATTATGCTCTTAAAATATTATGACATTTAATCAGATAACTAACTGCAATTTTCATTGAATTTAACTTCTCAAATCTTCTTATAAATTATTCTAATCCCAAAGTATAGGAGGACATAATACAGTACAGCATATTTTAATATCAGACATCTCCGATTTCTTCATCTTCCATTGTTTTGGTATTCAGTTAAGCATGAAAAAGCCTTCGTAGACATATCAAGTTAAATATCAAAACTCTAAACATGTTCTACCTGTTAGCTAGTGTAAATCAGCACAATGGTTTTGACTTAAGTGGCATTAGACTGATTTACACCAGCTGCAAATCTCACCCTTTATCTTCCATCTTGTACACAATTACTCTAAGGGCAGGTCTACACTAACCCCCCAATTCGAACTAAGGTACGCAACTTCAGCTACGTGAATAACGTAGCTGAAGTTCGAAGTACCTTAGTTCGAACCTACCTCGGTCCAGACGCGGCAGGCAGGCTCCCCCGTCGACTTCGCGGTACTCCTCTCGCCGAGCTGGACTACCGCAATCGACGGCGAGCACTTCCGGGTTCGACTTATCTTGTCCAGACAAGACGCGATAAGTCGAACCCAGAAGTTCGATTTGCTTGCCGCCGAACTACCGGGTAGTGTAGACCTACCCTAAAAAAAAGAAGAGAAATAAATGGTTTCAGGCGTAAGCCAGTCACTGATTATCTGATTAGGAAGAACCTTCCCTTATGGTAAGATTGTTCAATACTTATCCATAAAAGGGTTTCTTACACCTTCCTTTTTAGGCATTTGATGTAGGTTGCTGACAGAGCATAATAGACTAGATAGACCATTGGCTCGATACAGTTTGCTAATTCCTATGTCTAGTGTTGCAAAAGTTAATATTTGATTAACTTCATTTTGGACTTTTTTTTTTTCAAGTCATGTGACTTAAACTGTGAATGTATCAGTAAACATATCTATGAAGTCTACTCCAAAATAAGGAAAACTAAATCTAGATTCCTCTGTTCACCAAGATAGTGGTTGGCTTTAGGTAAGGGCATTTGCAGGGCATTTTTGTCCACCTATGCCACTTACTTTACTGGCAATGCCTGTGGAAAAAGGTGGCCATTTATTTTTCTTGGCTTACCCACCCCTGCGTGGTGACACCTTTCGACTAATGCATTGATCTAGAAGCCGTGATCTTTTTACCTCTTGAAAAGACTATAATTTAATATGCTTGTGATACAGTTATGTCTTCCGAGGTAGGAATATTTTATTTATGAATTCATGTGACTGATTGCTTCAACTTTCTTTTCTGCTTTTTAGTAACTATATATCTCAGATCCCCAAACAGTTATCACCTTTACAAGGCACAAGTTAGGTTTGCCTAGCAGCAATGAAAACACTTGCAGTATATGCAAGTACAAAACATTCCCACAAGAATAATGTTGACAACTCAAAACGCCAGTAAGAATGTAAATTGCTGAAAATATCAAGGCAAATATAAAACAAATTAAAATAGATTAACTTCATAGGAGTCAAGGGACAGGAGATCAGTGTTTTAGTTGTTAACCTTCTGGGGCTCAACAAATTGTCAAATTAAATACTGCAGAATTTAAAGGGATATTCATCACATAGAATTAATAATAATTTCAATTTACATTGTGCAGATAATTTGTTAAACCAAAATCTTTTTGTCAGCTTTATTGCTAAAGATTGAATGATTTGTCTTGCAGAATCCAAGTAAATGATCAGATTGTTGAGGTTGATGGTATAAGTTTAGTAGGAGTAACTCAGCTTTTTGCAGCCACTGTGCTAAAAAACACCAAAGGCAGTGTGAGGTATGTGTTTCTTTATATATACATATTTTATAATTTAAAAACTACTTGGGAATATATTGTTCATTAACAAAGATGAAGGGAAAGAAGCAGCAAATTGTGTAAAATGTTTTTATATAAATTTAACATAAGTAGTCACCAAAGACAACAGGGTAACAGGCTACCATATATTAAACATACACTTGCCCTGTACTACCTTTTAATTGGTTTTTTTCTTATAGGTTTCTAATTGGAAGAGAGAAACCTGGGACTCAGAGTGAAGTAGCTCGTCTTATCAGTGAGACATTAGAGCAAGAGAGATGCCTATATGAGCAGCACTATGCCAATGATGATACAGAACAGGTATAGCTACCAATAAAATAGCTATATAGTATATAAAGTAATTCTGTATTTTTAATCATGACTTGGAAATATTTTACAAAAAATGGACTAAAGATGTTTTGAACCAGACAACCAAGGGATAAAAGTGAAAAGGTGCAACTTGATTAAAAATGATAATAGTAACATATACACTTTGAAATATCACTCCATATAATAATGTTACTTAATACATTCCCAACAGGCCTCAGGTTGGTATCCTATCTGAGCAGGACACAGTCTTCTAGGAGAAAACTTCTAGGGAACCTAAAGAAAGGAAGTTAATTTTAAAAATCAACTGTCATTTGGGATAGTTGTTTCTTGCCCTTTCTGTTTAGGGAATTTTTATATAAAATGTTTGCAGATTACCTTAACAGTACATTATAAGTATAAGTTGCTCAACCAACAAGAGAAAGAGGACAATTGCTAGTCAACAGAAGTGATGTAATTATGATTTTGGGTTATTTGAAGACTGTATGTTTAAGAAAATAAAGTTTAGCCATTAAAGAAAGGTCTGTGGTTTACTTCAGTAAAGTAATGTTTTTCTATCTTGTTAGGATGATGATTATGATGATGATGATGATGATGCTTTTGAGTCACATTTACATGGAAAGTCTGTGGAAGTCTTTTATCTTCCTGAAAATGAAAATGAAGATATGAATTTGCCACTGGATATGGATTCAGCACAGTTTCTTCTTAAATTTAAAGAGGTACAATAACATAACCTAAGTTTCTTACAAATCTTATGTGGTGTGCCGAAGAGCATCTGGGTCTTCTAAAGTTGGTATGAATCTCCTTTGTGCCCTGTCTCATCATATTCTTCTTTTTCCTCTGACAAAAAAGGCCTCTTGTAAATGACCTTTCAAATTTGGGGATTTTGTCAAAATTGACATACATAAAATTCAAAATAAATGTTTCAGAAGCTTAAAAAAAAGAACCTGACAGAGCATTGGATCAAAAGATGTTGACTATCAGAAATTATAGGGCTTTGTTTATACTGCCTTCCCAGTGTACCATGGTCCCAGCTTCAGCTGATAAAAGTAAAAATAAATCTCATCATATAAATGTGTCAACTTTTCTACTCAAACTAATACTTATTTTTACATATTCCAGACATAGGAGTAACCATTTTCTTTGGCTTGATTTTTCTGTCTACCCCATCAGTGTAGTGTGGGAATTGTTAAAAGGATATATGAGGCAAATCTAGGAATATTATTCCTATACACTAAACAAAAATTGAGGGTATCTGAACTATAGTCCTTTCCCATAACGTGATTAACACGCTGTTTTGTAAGCAAGTATGTGCAAAGTTGATTTTTGCAGACTGCTTTTTGGGCAAAATATGCTCTGCATAAGAGCTATGCCACCCCGTGGTGGCAGTGGTGGATGCTTCTCCCTACTTGCTTCAAATACTTTCTAATGAGGATTGGATTTATTAGAGGCTTTATGAAGCTGATTTTCTTGGTGATACTGAGGGAGTCTGGATTCCAGACTGGAGACCACTTCCAATGTTATAAGTTGGAGAAGCATGGTGAGAATCTGATAGACCATAATGGGACATCCATGCATAAATACCTTATACACTTGGGGATATGATGGGAAATGACTCTAGGTGGAAATCCATTCTCTATTGATAGTGAATCTAAATCAAGTGTTCAGACTCATAATTTCACTTGTTTCAACATACGTTTGGTATTCTGTGCCTCTAAGTCACATATTTAAGGTGAGATTTAAGAGCTGAGAGGTTGTCTTCAACAAATTTGCTATTGCCCTTATGTATGCATACTTAATAGTAGATTTCTGAAGACATACTGTTGTAATTGTGTTCTTGACTTAAATGAAGCCTTTATGTACCCCTGTAATCTACTGAAGTCTCTTGATACCGAAGTCTTGCTCCTTAAACGTACAGCTTAATGTAAAAATACTTCATGATGATATTCTTTATGAACTTAAATAAAAAGACCCAGCACTAATGTATTTTTCACTTGACTGCATTTACTACTTGCCCAGTTACAAAGCATTACTGACTTTCACAGTTTTTGGCATGTTCACTTCATTTCAAACATGATTTTAATTTGCTTGCTTTTTGTAGCTATTTCCATAAATTAATTTGTGAATTTTTCAAATACAGATGTCCATATTCGTAATAAAAAAAAAATCAAATCATGACCATCATAAGACCTTATAAACCTTTTCTTCTTAAATTGGGAGCTTAATTTTGGAAAAACATATAACGTGTAAGAGCCTGGTCTCTTTTATGCTGGTGAAAATCATGAGTAACTTTATTGAGCAAGTGCATGGATTTACGCTAATGTAAAACTGACTTTTAAGTGAGAGGAGAATCAGGCCTTAAATATTTAGTAACAAACTTGCCATCTTTCAAATATCTTTCTGTATATTTCTTGACAAAACTGTTACATTTCATTCTAGCTACAATTAAAGCATGCAGTAACAACAGCTGAAGTTAACCAACTAAAAGAGAGAGTAAGTTACTTCTTTTAAAGTTTTGCAACGTTTAATGTTCACATTGTTCATGATAGGATTAATGTTTAGAGGAGAAAAAGTTGGAAACCGAATGAAGGTCAGTCTATGTCTATTTTAAGGCTAGGGCACCATGTACTTTGGGCACACTAGACACAAATTTGTAAACCTAAATTCTGGGTTACACAAATACTGAATTCTGTGACAGATTGAAGAAATTCTATAATAGGATAAAATGCTTGAATAATATTGTTTAAAGTAGAATTTATTGAATTGAATAGTTCAATGGATAGAAACTTGCCTCCGTTCAGTATTGGTGTTTCATAAAAATTAGGTGTCTTTGTGTAGAAATTAGAGAGCAGTGGATGTATTTGCCACTTTGGGGCAGTGGTCACTTCTAGGAAGGAGTTTTTGGAGTGTTATAGGAAGAGGAACTGGGGTGGAGATTCCCCCGGCCAACCTCCCCCTGATGCAAATACACAAGCTTCTTGGGTGAGGGCTAGCTCAGCATTCTTACAGTTTCTGATTGTTCTGGGAAAGGGAAGTTCTTCTTTGAGTGCTTGCTCATATCCATTCCATTAGGGTGTGCGCGCGCCGCGTGCACGATCGTCGGAAAATTTTCTACCCTAGCAACACCGGCGGGTTGGCTGTGGAGCCCCCTAGAGTGGCGCCTTCATGGCGCTGAATATATACCCCAGCCGACACGGCGCCCCCTCAGTTCCTTCTTACCGCCCCTGACGGTCGTTGGAACTGTGGAGCGCGGCATAGCTGTTCTCCACTCTCCCTAGCTTAGTTAGTTATTCACAGTTATAGTTATAGTTCTAGTTGTTTATAGTTAAATAGTTTTTAAAAATTGTTCATTTGTTCTAGTTGTTATAATAGTTCAAGGGGATTAAGGGGGTTGTCTCCCCCTTTCTCCCCCGGCCGCGGGGCCGGGCTCATGCCCAACGCTCCCGGCTTCAAGCAGTGCGCCTCCTGCGCTAAGCCTATGCCCACGAGCGGCCCGCACGACTCCTGTCTGAAGTGCCTGGGAGAGTCCCATCAAACAGATAAGTGCAAGATCTGTACGGCCTTCAGACCAAGGACCAAGAAGGAGCGGGACTTTCGGCTCCGGCAACTCCTTATGGAGGCGGCACTTAGTCCGGACGCTCCATCAACGAGTCAGGCCCCGGCACCTAGCACCTCGGTGCGCAGTGCCCCGGCGGCACCGGCCATGCCGACCACGCGAGTGGCGTCGGACAAGCCTCCCCGGCACCGGACCTCGTCGGCACCGCAAGCACAACAAGTGCCTCTGCGCCGGTCATTATCCCCGGGGCATAAAAAAGCCCATAAGACGGGGACCTCCATGCCGAAGACGCCGGCTCCCCCAGTGCCGGGGGTAGAGCCACGCCCGCCTGTGGAGCACCGGAAACAGGTGCCTCCAGCACCGTCGACTCCGGCGCCGAGGCCGTTGAGTCCGGTGCAGATAGCGTCTCCACCGAGACCGGCGGTGATACAGTGCCTCCCGTCGACTCCAGAGACCTTTGCGGCGGCGAGAGACTTAATAGCTCTCACGGAGCCGGCACCGCCCCAACCACCGGCACCACCGGCACCGTTGACTCGTCCGGTCCAGTCTAGGGGGAAACCTGCCTTGATGCGCCCTCCATCGCAAGGGCTGGAACCACGGCACCGATCCAGGTCCCGAAGCA